CCATGGAGGTGTCAGCCATGGAGGTGGTCAGCCATGGAGGTGTCAGCCATGGGAGGTGTCAGCCATGGGAGGCGTCAGCCATGGAGGCGTCAGCCATGGGAGGCGTCTGGGGTGGTTTTGGTGGGGAAGGGGCAGAAGAAGGTGATACCGATCGGATTGTGTCTGAGATACATGTTAGATGTGGCAACAGCCCATTCATATTGGAAATGGCAGAGGAAATACTAAATGCTTGTAAGAAGGTTCTGTGTCTCCACCTCCGTCTGAACAATGAGCAAGACCCAAGCCTGCACCTCATTCTGTCAGTTTCCCACAGTCACCACTTGTCACCTTCATACCAGGAAGGGCTCAGCCTGACAAGGAGGAGCACGGAAACCTGCAGCAGCACAAACAGAAGCCCAGAACAGCAAGAAGTGATTAATAGTGGCCTCTTTTGGGAAAAAAAAATCAGTGAAGTTAAACGACAGCTCACTGTCTCATGATAGTTTTTATTATTCTCTCTTCCCTATAAAGATAGTATCTTATATTTCTGTACTTGGTCAAAATTCCAACATCCTTTCTCATCTACAGCATACACCGCCTCCCCCTCTTTCCCAGACAGGGAAAATAGAGTCGTCTGTACACAGGCTGAACTATTTTGAAAGTAAATAAACAGTTTAACAATTTTTAATGACACATCTGAGGATGTTATAGAGGGAACTCAGATTAGGTGACCTCTAAGGTCTCTTCCAACTTGGGGTTCCATCATGTTTTTTATTAGTTCCTCCCTCCCTTCCTACCACGCTTCCCTTCCTTCCTTCCTTCTCTAAGTACTGGCCAAGCCCCTCCTTGCTGTAAGAAACCATGTTGAACAATGAAGACAAATGCATGTGACCCCACCCTGAAGAAACGGATCATCTGGTACGTGAGACAAACACGTTCACGGACCGCGACAGCGGACACCACCCTGTGTGAGCACCGCAAGGAGGTCTCAGTAAAGACTGGAGAACTTCTAAGGGAACGAAGACCAGCTCCCCGTAGCTGGGAAAGCAGAGAAAGCTTCGTGGCATGGGCGCATTCTGTCCTGGGCCTTGAACGTAAGGATTTCAATAAACGCAGGAAAGAATCCAACGCACTAAGACACGTGAGGGAAGAGAGTAGAGATGACCCGGAGGACGTGGAGCAGAGGGAGCAGAACAGACTTTGTTGGGGACGACTGGGACAGCAGCCCAGAGAGGCTGGTGGGAGGCAGGAGGGGTGCGCTTATCTCAGACCACGAGAGCTGGCACAAAGCAGGCAAGCAAGGAGAGTGCGCTGTGAATATTCAGTAACGGTGGAGAGGGGCTGCCAGTCTTGCTTCTGTGAAAGAATCTCTTGCATCAACCATGCGACTGACAAGGGACTAATTTCTAAAACACACAAACAGTTCATACAGCTTAATATCATAAAAACAAACAACCCAATCAAAAAATGGGCAGAAGACCTAAACAGACATATCTCCAAAGAAGACATACAGATGGCCAACAGGCACATGAAAAATGCTCAGCATCGCTGATTATCAGAGAAATGCAAACCAAAACTACACGAAGGTATCACCTCACACCAGCCAGAATGGCCGTCATTAAAAAGTCTACAAATAATAAAATGCTGGGGAGGATGTGGGAAAAAAGGAACCCTCCTACACTGTTGGTGGGAATGTAAATTGGTGCGACCACTAGGGACAGCATGGAGATTCCTTAAAAAACTAAAAATTGAGTTATCATAGGATCCAGCAGTCCCACTCCTGGGCATGTGTCCACAGAAAACTAATCTGAAAAAAGACAAGCACCCCACCCCCAATGTTCACAGCAGCGCTGTTAACAACAGCCAAGACATGGAGGCAACTTAAATGTCCACTGACAGATGACCAGGTAAAGAAGCTGTGGTATATTTACACAATGGAATACTACTCAGCCATAAAAAGGATGAAATCATGCCATTCACAGCAAGAGGGATGGACCCAGAGATTATCATACTAAGTGAAGTAAGTTAGACAGAAAAAGACAAAATTCACATGATACCACTTATATGAGAATCTAAATCATACAAATGAACTTATTTACAAACCAGAAAGAGACTCACAGACATAG